TGGAGAGAGGAATCCCCGGTGGCATTTGGATGATAAACGGAGGACTCCTTAGACCAAGAAGCATGGCGCATCAGTGTCATGGCCATGGGACATTGAGTCTTTTAAATGCCCCATGCATGCCTCTGCTCCCACTGTCTTGGGAGTAGAAGGACAAGGGAGGAAACTCTTGTTACTACAACATAGCTTTGGATTTGACTTTTCATTTCTAAATTCTCCATGAAATTCATTTCACCCAAGTTCAGCTTATAAGAAATTAAGGGCCCTCCCTGGTGGCACAGAGGGTTAAAGCACAGCACTGAGATGCTAAAGCCACTTCAGCATGAGTTCGATCCCCACCCCAGAGGTGACCCGCATGGCGTGGCAGACCTCTCCTGACCCGGCTGCTTCATCAATCAACCTGTTCTACTCCCCACTGTGTCTCTGGTGAATCCTCTCACTGCCCCTACACTTCTGGCCTGTACTCCAGTTCTGTATGCACAAATAAATAAATCGTCAAAAGAAAATTGATCTTTCTGCACTAGTTTCACCATTCATATATTTTCTCAGGCCACAGCACAGAGCAGAAAGTTCCCCAAGGAAGAGATTTGCTCTGTGATTGACAGAGGAAGGGAACAGATACACACATAAATTTCAAATGGGGGTGGGGAAGAAGAGACATCTGTTTCGTTTCTATAAAGCATTTATCCCACAGCACAACCAAACTACAACTGGCAGGATTTACAGACTATGCAGCTGATCCAGACCCTGGAGCTGGAATGCTGAAGTTATGGGCAGGAGGGGTCCCTGGAGAGTGTGCCTGGGAAGCCCAGACGACTCCTCTCCTCATCTGTAAAGCACCACCCCTTCTCACTTCTGAAACCAAACTTACTCTCAGAAAATTCAAAATAGGTACTCAAGTTAGATTAAAAAATTCTACAAAGAGAGTCACATTTATTGATTCCATAAATAATACTTTCTTGACTACGTATAAGCAAATCTCACTGATCCGCATAATCTTTCTTTCATGTTTGTGTCAGTAGTCGGCCAGATGTACTGCAGACCTGCTCAGCATTTGGTTTCCACCAGTGGGTTTCTGTTACTGCAGGGTCACTGGAGAATCCACCTGGACACTAAGCTGGGAGGATTTCTGAATTGAAGTTCCTGCAAAGTTAGACTGGAGGATAACTAGTGAGCCTTTCATACTGTGCAAAGAATAAAGATTTAAATTAAAACACATGTGCACACATATACTTAAGATAAATTCTTATTTGACTGTTACTAAGCAGATAGTCCTGAAGTACAAGAAATTTAGTTCTTGGCCCAATTCAGTCTGTTGTCTTATTCCTTCCCGCTGCCTTTTTCACCTCTCCAGCCCCAGTACTTCCAGGGACTTAAGCTAATGTCTTTACTTAGCCTCCCCTCCTCTGAGACCAAACTGTTGGCCACGAGGACCTTGCAAATGCCTCTTTCTGGTACAGCCCCTAGAAAATTGTTGTTCTCTGAGGCAAACACTAGCTAGCTATTGACCCCAATTCTTCTCCTGGGAACATAACTAGAGCTCCTTTTACATTCTTTGGAGCAGTTCTAGCTGAGTCCTAGCCACAGAACACGGCCAGACACGCCGGCACCCTCTCCAGGCCCAGCCCATGGAAATTGCTCTGTCCCTGCCACAGCAAACTTGGCATCATGAGTGGAAGGTGATGGAGCCAGGGGATGGAAGGATTCCTGAGTCATCACCAGAAGAAGGCTGTACTTCTTGAAACGTCTTTGTAAGTGGTTCAGATTGGGGTTTACTGTTATGTCAGCTGCAATTACCTTCCTTACGTTGCTTCTGCCTTAGGCAGTTGGGGGACTGGGTAACTTTCTGGGCCCCCAGTGTGCAAAGACATGAAGCAGAGACATGAAGCAGATTGAAATTTTGAAAAGAGGATAATAGCCACGTGTTATTAGTAGATTAAAACTAGATATATGTTTTTTAACCATTTGGAGATAGTCTAAGTTTTTTTTCCCCCTTCCCTTAAATGGCTGGAAAATATCTGCAAAAACTTCAAAACCTAAGTTATAAAACCAGGGGAATTTGAGGTGTCATGTATGAAAGCAAAGAGGAAGATGGTTTCCATGTGCATTTTACCACAAAGGCTGTTATGATAACACAGCCAAGCAGTTGTGAACTCTCAAAGCCTCATCTGCAATTTTTGTTCCTCATAAGTTGGGTCATGTCATATGACCAAAAAGTCTGTCCAGTAAGCATCACCATCACTTAGTAGGGTCTGAAGTCAGAGAATTATCCTCAGAATTCCCTCTCACCTTCTGAGGTGTTCCCATCACTCTCTAATGGTAGCTTTCACCAGGATACACAGACCTCTCCCATTCTGACCATTTTCATAACATAAACGTGATTAGGTGGTTAGCAGAATGGAAGGGGCCCAATAAATTAACCCCTGTTCATGTTAAAGTGACTGACAACTGAAATCAAACTCATCATGAGGTAGCACCTCACATCTTAACAGGTAGGTGATGACTGTCATCAAAAAGACAAGAGACAGCAGACTCTGGCAAGGGCGTGATGAAAAGAGAACCCTTGTAAATTGTTGGTGGGATATAAATTAGTCAAACCACTCTGGCAAAAACATGGAGTGTCTTGAAAAACTTAAAAATAGATCAACTCTACAATCTCGCAATTCCAATTTTGGGAATATACCCAAAGGAAATAAGATGTTGACAAGAAATATGCACACCACTTATGGCAGGATTACAATAGCCGAGATATGGGAGCACTCTAGATGCCAATCAACAGATTAGGGAACAGCAAACTGACCGAGATGACAAAAGAAGTGCCTTGTTTCACTCCTGACATGATCACATAAAGTAACCATTCAGGCACTACACCCAGGGAAGCCATTACTTGGGGTGAAACTGGAATAACTCTTGGGGTATCAGAAAAAATACAGACCTCCTCACAGGATCAGAGAGGAGATTCACATTTCGTTGAATAAGAGGTGGGTGGCGGGAAGTGCCCACCCCCTTGGGCCTTGTGAAGTCAACTGACAACATGTAGACTGCAGTGTCTTGGATCTGGAACCTCAAAGTGAAGGAATATTAACAGTGCTACAAAAATGAGCCAGCCACCCCAATAATGTTAACAAAAATGGCTGTCCCCACTTGGTCTCTCCCTCACCCAGACTCAACATCTGCAAAAACAGGTCTCTGTCCCTATGGAAACTGGGAAGTTCAAATACCTGCCAATTGCTCTCTAAGTCTCCATTTTTCCACATTCCTTTCACTACCAAGATCTGGTGAGTTGATTTCCTTTCATTACTTAATATTTTCAAGGCTCATATTAGGGTGCTGTGATGCTTTTTTTTTTTTTTAAATAATAATGAAGTCCTAGAGAACCTTTATATCTCTAAGACTATGCCCAACCTGGAAAGTCCACAAGAATTCCATGGTGTAAGAGACAGGAATCAATACACAAATCACATTTATTGAGTACTTCTGTGCAGTGGACAGACAGGTAAACTTGAAGAAAGGGGACTTAGCCTTGACTCATAGTTCTCATTGTATTGAGACAGAAAGAGAGAGAGACAGAGGGAGGAAGGGAGGGAAGGAGAGATTTCTCTGTATGTTCAAAATAGACACACATTCATTCAAATAGTTTTTTACATTTAAACCAATTGCCTTGAGATCCTATACAAATAATAAGCAGGTGTTATTCTCCATTCTGGTATTTTTTTCATTGCCAAAGTGTTTTTAGAACAGCTGAACGTATTCATTTATTTCATGAGCACACTGGTTCACCACTGATTATTTGCCTGGGCAAAGGACAAGTCCTCTTCCTCAGCCACCTCATATTTGGAGACGGGAGAATATCATCAGTTCTGGTGTTATAGCCAGGCGACTCTTGCTCATCTCTGGATGAAAGTGAGCAGGCTTCACCAGCAGATCTTGGTACTAGGCTGTGTTGCCCAACTGTCATTTCAAGGCAGCATTATAATTCTAACTTGGGCAGCACTTGGCCTCAAACCATATGAATGCCAAGTGCACAGAGCATTAACGGAAGTTCACCTCAAGACCCAAGTTTAGTGTCTATTTCTAGCACATACACAAAATATGTGAACCCAGGCTGTTACAACTCTCATAGTGTTTTTCATCTGCTCACTGCAATATGGATACTCTCAAGAAAAGCTCAATTGTAAAACTCTCTAAAAACAGACAAACCTGGACTAGAAAACCTGTGACGACTCTGTAGCTACTCAGCCTCCTCTCAGAGGGAATCTGGACTCTGAGCCACTCAGGACAAAGAAGCAAGCCGAGGGTCCACCCCTCATACAGTACACTTACACGCAATAGCAACCTAAAATGAAGCCCCAGCCCCCAAAATTGTTTTTCCTGCATATTTTCTGCATCTGTCATTTGTCCTATGACACAAATGAAAAATGAAATGTATCACAATTCAGTCAGCATTCATTTTATTAAAGGTGTTTGGAGAAGCTGAACTGGTATCTCTGTCTTGAAAGCATGCATTTAACATATTTCTTTTATCTAAACAGAAACAAAAAACAAAAGTACATAATAATTCACATTAAAACAAATGAGACATCTATTAGTGTAAAAGAATAAGCTACATTAAGCACACATTGCTTCTTGGTTAAAAAAAGAAAATGAGGCAGAATCAGAGCCTGACATCCTGGTAATTTGATACTCTCCAGTGAATCATCTTAGCTTCCAGTCTGCATTTGAATGTCAAATATTTTGTTCAGCAGAAAGTGTGATCTAAATTAAATCTGTATTGCAAGTATATCAGTGTCCCCCACAACATCCATGTATCTTCAGACCGGCTCCCCTTTCTGCATGTTGCTGTTCTGGAACACAATGCACGGTAAGATTTTGCATGTGCCACAGTGAGCATGCATCTTGTGGCCAGGCATCTCCATCTGAACCAGGACAGCGGCGCCCCCAGGAGAGATCTGAACAGGACAGTGGCGCCCCCAGGGGAGAGCTGCGCTGCCCGGCATTCCTGCTCATACCCACTCAGACTTTCTGGTTCTCAGGTAGGCTGCACTCCCCGAGCTGGCCAGCCAGTCACAGGGCTGCAGGTGACTGGATCGAGAGAGCTGGGTCAGCTGACTCTGAGGCGCCGGAGGATGCTCTTGTGGCCTAGAAGAGCCCTCACTTCTTGGGCCATGGGTGGTCTCCCTCTGAGGCCTGTCCATCAGTTCTTTGCGAGTCACAGTCAGCTTGTTGCTAACTGAGGACATGACCTCACTGTCCTCCTCATCTGCAAGCTCCATTCGCCCTGACACAGCAGACTTACCACTGGGACTCTCGGGCTCCTCCCCTCCCATCCACAGCTCGGGGTGAGTGGGCACCTCCTCTGCTTCCCACTGGCCACGTGCCCCCATCTTCCTGCTGGGGACACTCTTGGGTACACACCTGGGGCCTGGCCTCCCGCTCATCTTCCTTTTCATGCTGCAGATGAGGTCCGCAAAACTGAGCAGGAGGGAGAGTGCACTGACCGCCCAGATGAAAAGCATCATGATGGACTTCTCTGTGGGCCGAGAGATGTAACAGTCCACCACGCTGGTGCAAGGAGCATGAGTGCAAGAGAATCTCTTTGGGACCAAGAATCCAAAGAGGAGGTACTGCAAGGTGCCAAAAGCTGCCTCCATCAGGGTCCGAAGGAAGAGATGGACGATATAACCAGAGGAGAAGTCTGGCATGAGCAGATGGCTCCTCCCCCTGCAGGGCTGTGAGCAGCGCCTGTTCCCTGCCGTCAGGTCATGAGCCCCAGGACTGCTATCTGGCCCACAGGATCCATGGGCTGCCAGCACGGCTCCTCTGTGGAGAACATAGACACTGAACACAGCAGAAGGGAGGAGAGTAGACACACTCTGGATCAACCAGAACCGCAAGTGGGACACTGGGGAGAAGATGTCATAGCAAACGTTGGAGCATCCTGGCTGCAGAGTATTACACACAAACCGCTCCTGCTCGTCCTGGTATATGGGGGACCCTGCCAGGATGATCACCCCCATCCTCAGCAGGATCATGAAAATAAGCCAGATCTTCCCTGGAAAAGAGGAAGCAAGAAGGGCATGCCACCACATCAGTATGTCCTCAAAACAGACCTAAACCATTTGCAGGGCCAGAGGCTGGAGAACTTTGAAGTCAAAAGTCAGCATTTCAGTCACAGCAACAGCGCTGCTAGTTGACTCATTTGACAAATATATGTTCAGCATTTACAGTGCATCTGGCACTTTGCTGGACTGCTGTATGAAATGCTTTCAGAGTAGCAAATTTTAAAGAAGCACTAGAGACTAAAAATGTTTACTGTTACGCTACTTATTCATTCTTTTGGTGATGCTCCTGGAGGAAGGTCTAGAAAGAAAGCTGGACTGAGAGGATTTATGCTTAAAAAAAGATCTTACTCTAAGGAGAACAACCTTTTTAAAGGGAGTTAGCAAATTCTTGCAACGGTGTGCAACAAGTGGAAGCTGTTCATTTCAATAAACCTTCTTTATTTATGAGAATGGATCACAAATTCTTTATTTATTGTTACTTTCAGTCCTTGAAATCAAATTTCTTTAACAATATTCAATTTTTCATAGTTTTTAATAATTTAGAATTTTTTCCCTCTATTTCCAGTTATTATGAACCAGTGAAGTTTTTCACTCTTCAGTTTATCATGAATAAATGAAGCCAATCTGTAAATCAAAATAGCCTCAAAGTCCTATTTTCATGTCATGAGTCCATTATTTTGGGACATGTTTAAGATTCCTCAAAATAACTTACAAATACTTGTTTTGTGAGGCAATACAGAAAACATCACCTGATAGCAGAAAAACAAAACTACTATGAATGAAGGCAATCCATCTCATAGAATCTCATTACTTATTGCTTCAAACATTTAAGACTAAGTTGATTTTGTGTTAATTCCACAAAATAATGAGGAAGAGAAGAGTTAGTCTTTGTTAGTCCTTTTCTCAATCATGTTTTCTAGGGCCCCATTCTGCTCTGAAAATTTGAACTTGTCCACATGAGGTGCAAAATTTTTTTCATTTTTTTTGTTAAAAAAGAAACTAAAAGTGGGGCTTGGTTTAACGTATGTAAGACAGGTTACCAATCTTAACAAATTTAGCTTTCAGGGTAAACCCTAAAAAAGATGAACAAAGAGAAAGCATAGTCAGGAATTAATTTCTCTTTAACTTTTACTTTCCTGATAAAGTGGCCAGAGAAGAGTTACAAAAAAATACTCCTACCTATTCCACTCTTTTGAATCAGAACACAATTCATTGAGAAATGATATCAAATCCAAGACTTCCTTCAGTGATTATGGAATAGGAGGAATTGGACAACAGTTTTCAGCCACAGCTGCCTTCTCTCCATCAACATATATCCCTGCCTCTTGGTGGGGAGAGGGAAGGTGGAGAGGGAGGAGGAGGCAGTCAGACAAAATGGCAAGAACAAAACCAGAGTTTTGAAGGTGTCTCTACTCACCCACAAAGGTCACATTGCAATTCAATGTGACAATGAGGAACCCCAGCAGGTCCACACGCTCCATGCTAGTAGGGTATTACTGACTCAGGGCTGCAGGAGAGGCTGGAAGCCTGTATTCTGCAAGAAGATGGGAAATCTTTGCAGGAATAAATGTATCTTAGGTACAGATGCCTGAATAGGTGAGAGCTGGAGATCTGAAAGGGGTGAGTCAAGCTTGGGAGTAGGAGGTCAATTTTTTTGTCTCCCAGCTGAGACGGCCCTAAGCTGTTTGCCTCTGTGGTAAAGCATTCCTGACAACTGCAGTGGCCAGGAGACAGAAGAAATCATCTCTCATTGTGGCTATTCTTAACCTCTTGGGACATTTCAGGCCTGTGGCTGTGCTCACATGACTCCTTTAAGCGAACCAGATGCTGCTGGATAGAATAGAAACAACTACGTTTAACTCAAGAAAGAAAAGTTATGTTAACTGGCCAAATAAATATCTCTATTTAAATACTTTTTCCATATGATGGGGATCAAGAGGTAAAACCTTTGAATTAAAGCATAAATTGGCCAGCAGGTGTGGTATTCAGTGTGGTAGCTATGATCAGTATCGTAGCACATACTAGTAAGTTGCCAAGAATAAAGCCTAAAAGCATCTCGTCTGTATATGGGAATCTAGTAACAATATGATTATAGCAACATATTTTCTGACAATAAAGTTTACCACAGGATATGTAATCTAGGAGAAATTCTAACACACACCAATACTCTCCCCTATACTATACTAACAACTTAACATTGACAATTTGGGTGATAGGAAATTCCAGAGAACTGGCACAAGAAGCTAATTTTCTTTGACTGTTTCACAAGCATGCACAGGGCAGGTTCTCTTTTGATTAAAGTAGACAGATAAAGGAGACCTCAGTGGCTTTCTTCAGGCTTTATGCTCCTTTAATGCCAGTGATTGTGGGGTAAGCTTACAGGCTGGCAAAGGGAGGGTGGGGATGGGGACGGGCCAGGAGCAATACTGTCAGCTTTTTTCTGGTGTTCTCATGGTCCTGCCTCTCTGTGGCCACTCGTCCTCTGTGGCCATTGCGCTGTAGATGTCCTGTCTCTGAGTCACACTGCTCCATAGCCTCAGCTGCCAGGCCTGATCAGATGTGCCCACTTACGCATGCCTACACCTCACTCCAGGTACCCACCTTCAGACATGCGTGCCCTGCGCCCCCACACTCCTAAGCACCTTCTGCATTCAAGGCCGTAGGTGATAGCCACAGAGGCTGCAGCATAAAAGCCTGACCAATTTCACTTTTCCTATGTTGAATCATTTATTGCTCCTATAGTCCCAAAGCACTCACTCCTGGGTTGTATTTTCAATTCAGTTCAAATCAACCTGACAGCTTCCAGAAACAGAGGCAAATGTCTTCTCCACAACAGTGTTCATAGCACACCCTGGCATTTGTTTTTGTAGTTATTGCATTGATTCTTAAAAACAGAGAGGTATGACTTGTCTTCTAAAGGAGGAAAACTTCCAGATATTATTTTCAGCCCACATAAGGTCTGCTAACATCTTTTGAGAAAGCTTGAAACAACACTGATCCATATTATCAGCCATAACAAAATAATCGTTAACATCTTGAAGGAACATGATTAACGAAATAACTACCTGTCAGATACAAGCATGACAAATGAGGATATTAATAAATAGCATCTCTGAGGCTGCTCATTTATGCACTAGGCCACAAGGCAGAATGAATGAACCCAAAAAAGGAATGCAAAGATCCCCCAAAACTTTATTGCATGCAGGTTTGCTCATGCAAATTTAGAATTGAAAGTCACCTTAAAATTGATTTAGCCCATTGTCTTAATCTTACAGATCAAATAAAAGCGATGACCAAGGACATCACTCGCCTGCCCGCCTGTGCCTGTTCAGGTGTTTCTCTTCGCCAACCTTCTCCCTTTGCAAAGCAGCAGAGGCGGCTTCTCCGACGGCTGCCTGCTGTGACCATGCGGGCCTCTCCTAGCAAACCTGACGCTCTTGGGAATAGCTCTTTCTGCCCACTTGTGCAAGTATCCTTTACATCCCACCTCTTTTTATAAGAAAACTGCCCTTTTGAATATATGTAAAGAAATGATGACCAAGACCATCCAGCTTCATGATACCATCATTTTATTATTATAGGACTTAAATGAAATTTGACGTTCCTGCCCTACTTAGAGAATTTTTGATCTGTAACATATTAAAGTACAAAAAAACATTTCAAGCGTTCAGAATGTTAAGGAAATTCAACTACCTGCAGCTCACATTATTAAGTACTTAGGTATTTGAAATTTTGTGATTTTAATTTTTGCTTGAAAATATTTCTAAGGCACCATTTGGAAACAAGCAGATAATCAGGGCAGACTATATAGGCAGGAGGAGAGCAGGTAAGAAAGTGAAAGTCTCACCATTGACTTGCTTTGTGTTCACAGGTGTTGGGCAATATGTCAGAATTCCCTTCCTGAATGTTGTGGTTTGGATGTTTGTGTCCCTCCAATATATATGTTGAAATCTTAAATCCCATGAGAGGCGATATATGGAATTAATACCCTTTTAAAAGACACCTGAGATGGCCCTCCCTGGTGGCGCAACCGGTTAAAACAAAGCACTGAGAAGCTAAAGCCACTTCAGCATGAGTTCGATCCCCTGCCACATGCAGTGGCAGACCTCTCCTGACCCACCCACTGCTCCCCTCAGCAGTGTACTTCGTTGATCTGCCTGTTCTGCTCTCTGTCTCTGGTGAATCCTCTCACCCTCTGCATCTCTGGCCTGTACACCAGTTCTGTATGAATAAATAAATAATTGAAGAAAAAAAAAAAGACCCAGGAAAGCTTCCTGCCTTTGTGAGTCTCACCAGACACAGGATCTGTATTTCATCTTGTTCAGCCTCCAGAACTGTGAGAAATAAATTCCTGTGGCTTAGTGCCACTTAGACCATGGCATTATATTATAGCAGTCCAGTATACTCACACACTGTGATATCAGTTGAAATCAAATCCAACAGATTTTCTTATCTCCAGAAAGAAAGGAATCGTCTTTTTACTTGTGACTATTATTAGCATTGTCCTTTGACTTATTGACGGCTTTTAAAATACGGACAATCTGATGAATACAGTCCATTCAATGACTACTTGTAAAGCAACTAAGTCTTGGGCCTCATTGCAGGTATTGGCAAAATGGTAGAGTGAAGCACATAAACATCCTTGTTCTCTTTGAATTTACATTCTAGTAGTAAGGGCTACTACTAGACAAATAAGACAAATATCCTCAGGGAAATTAATTACTAATCAGATGGTCACAAACAGTGCAAAGAATAGAACAGAGAAGGGAACGGTTAGATGCTAAGGTGCTCAGGAACAACTTCCCTAAGAAGGGTACATTTGAACAGTGGGTGGGTGAAGGAGGCAGTTACATGAATATCCCAAACCACAAGGCCTTCCTCTTTAATTCCTTTCTTTTTTCTCGTTCACTTGAACCCACAGCCATGCAGCACATATTGAATTACTAATGCCCAACAATTTCTATGCATATGAGCCGTATTACCTGGTGCATCTGCTGACTGACATCAATAACATCCCTGTCCTGAGCTGAAGCCACAGTCACATTGCAAAGCTAGGGTCCAGCAGAACAATTCCTAGGTGTCAGGGTCTTCTCATCTGAACCACAGAGGTCCAGCAGGAGTCACTGCACCCCACAAATAGGCTTATTCCTATCCCTGTTGGGATTTTTGTTTCAGAGTCAAATCTGTTAAATATTATTCTTCAAAACAGTCACTGGTAAAGAGATAACAAGGAAGGTAATCACAGTCTTCAAGGTTAGAGGGACTCTGGGCTCAGGCCTGAAACTAGGACTTGACCTTGAGAAATGTTAACCTACCTTGACCTTGAGCAACTGTTACCCTATTAAGCTGAGTTTGTTTTCTGTCTTTAAAATGAAAATGATGCCAACTTCATGGAGTTGAAGATTCATTCTTTCTAAATATATTGAGTACCTACTAAGAACTCAGCCAAGTATTAGAAATGCATTCAAGAAAAAAGGAATGGGCTTCTAGCAGAAAGATAATTTAAAATACAATAAAAGAGTAGTTATAATCAAATGTGACAGAAGCAGAATAAGGACAGTATAGGGTGCTACTTCATGGGAAACAGGAGAGAGCAACTTCATGGGAAACAGGGCTTTGGGGAAGCTCTCCCAGAAGCAGCAGCAACTTCTACAGGACCTCAAGACAAGTCATGAGGCAGTCACCAAATGTCTCCCCAATATTGTGTTTTGCCCATATCATTTTGGAAATTTTAATGGACATCTGGAAAATGAAAGTGATGTTATTAGTGACCAGATGTGAAGGTCTTATCAACTCATAGACTTGAGCCGTAGATGGCTGTCAAATTGCTGGTCTCAACAAAGAATTAGAACAAAATTGGAATTACATCTTATACATAAAATATGTTTAGGGATTACTGCAAGTTCTCTAGAAACAGTAAGGTGATATTGGTCTCTCACATATCAAATTTAACAAGATTATCCCTAAAAATATTCTGTGGGAATGTAGGACACTTCAGCTTCATTCTGGGATCTACAACCTCAAACACCCATCTTCAAATAGACTGCACTGTTTCCTGTGTTCTCTTATAGTTCAATGACTCCAAGATGCATCTCACTCGGTACAAAATTCTGGTACCCAACTTACTTAAAACACTTTAAATTTATCTTCACCACTTTAACTCTTTAGTAGTTCCTGTTGCCTGTGGGATGATGTCAACTCTGAGACACCTGTGTTTGCCCCCCCCCCCCCCCCCCCCTTCAACAGAACTTTTGAGTCCCTGTGATTTCTTTTGCTTTTGAAACCTGCCACTGCTGTTTCCTCCTTTTGGGGAAACTTCTCCACCCAAGGCCAATTGAAATGCCTTTGTTCATGCTCACATAGTAACCTGTGCTTAGAGTCATGATGGGCAATGTTGGGCATTATTAATTGTTTAGTGTCTGCCTCTACCTAGGGACTCTGCCTGCCACACCAGCCCCCACAGACCACAATGTAATCTCAG